CGGAGAAATAGGTAGCCTGCTACAGACACTTTCCTGTTGGACCCGCTTTTGCTCGGCCCCCTCTTTTAATGTCAAGTTTCGGTGGCTTATTCAGGCATCCCTCAGCTCGCTTGAAACGGATGAAACCCATGCCAGCGGATGCTGGTAGGCAAGGTAGGGCAAGCCAAGTGTGCTGCAAATGGGTCAAGTGAGCTGCAAGCGGCAACCCAATCGTCCCACCAGAAAAGTCTCCCTCAAACTGTGCTTTGTGAGAGGGAGACAGCTGCGATGTTCAGCCCTCTACAGCCTCCAGCCTGCTGGCGATCTGCTTGACTCGGGCGACCCACTTCGGACAGCATTTTCTGGCTTGCCGCCTCACGCAAAGTCTCCCTCAAATTTATTTATTCTGAGGGAGACTGTGGGGAAGTGGATTCAGGCTTAAACAGCCACTTGCAACACACTGGACCCACTTGGCCCACTCGCAACGCACTCGAAACACTTGGCCCACTTGCAGCACAATTGCCCCACTAGGCCCACTCACAGCACACTCGACACACTTGGCCCGCTTGCACCACACGTGCCCCACTTGACCTAGGACGACTACGGCAGATGGGAAGGGAGTGGATCGAGTGTGGCAAGTGGGTCAAGTGTGTCGCATGTGTGTCACGTGCATCGCCAAGTGGGTCACATGCGTCAAGTGCGTCGCAAGCGGGTCAGGTGCGTCGCAAGTGGGTCAGGTGTGTTGCAAGAGCAAATGTGTGTGGGTCAGGTGTGTTGCCAGTAGGGCAAGTGGTAGCAATCGCTTAATTATCCCGACGCCCAAGCAAGTGTGCCAAGTGTGCCAACACACCTGCAATCAGTTATTGGTCCCGGTTTGCACGCGCACTGAAGCGTTGGCTGGTCGGTCCCGAAAGTTTGGGGTGAGGAGAGGAGGAAGGATCTTGATACGGAACATGAAGTCCTGCAGCCTTTGTTATGAGCAAGAAATACCAGCGCCACTTACAACAGCATCGTCAGGCTACAAAGTCACATGCATGGCAACATACCCGTCCACAGCCCATGCACGGTATAGTTTACGTAGGACGTAGCTCGAAGTGGCAGTAATCATTTCCACATCCTTATTGGTGCAGCGCGTCTTGTGCTTGTTGCATTGATCAACAGCCACCATGGTCAGAGCCTGAGCTTGGATGTTGCCAATGCGGGTGGTATCACCCATGTCGCATGACCAACAGGATACGCCTGACGCACTCAAGGCGGATCAATCAACAATGTACCGGTGGGATGGCAGTTACAATTTCAAGCGGCGCGAAGATTGGGACTACAAGCGTTCGCCTTAATAATGTGGCATTATGTTTCAGTAGTGGTCAGCAGTCCATGTTGTCACGGGCCAACATGTTCCAGGCACTCTTACACGCTGATGGCCGGCATGCGCCGCTGACATGTGAATTTTATTTGTTTGTTGAGGCAGAGGCACGGGCAAGGCGTCGTACATGGTCATTTTCAGTGGGACACACGTATACACACAAGGCAGCGTGAAAATTGCATAGTTGTGTTCAAGCTGTTCGGGGCAGCAACAGTACCCCCAATGGTCAGTGGTTGTTCGTGCTGGGCATGAACTTCATTAGGTTTGCCGCAACAAGTTGAAAGGAGCGCGCATTGCCGACTTTTTGCAGACGGTCATTTACAAATGCGCCTGGCACTCCTTTGACTACATTGCCTAGTACTTTAGTTTGGCAAGCCCAGCGCAATATGTAATCAGACCGATATTTGTTAGTGAACACCTCAAAATGCGTGCAGGGGCTTGCAAAGCACAGGCCATTCAAGACTTCCATGTGTGCCAGGTTGGGCCAGGAAGAAGTCAAAGAAACACAGCGGCGGAAGAAAAAGTGGCATCCTCAGGCTCAACCGCTGCGAGGGCAGCCAACCTGAAATCAAGGATGGGCACCGTGGATGAGCAAGCGCCTCCATTACCGCAGGCCTACCGTGTCAATACCACACCAGGTACACATGCGGCCAAGTCAGGACACAGCCTTGGTAGAGACCATCGAGAAGACCGCGAAGCACATACACAGGCAAGGCTTCCAATTGATTCCCATAGGTTCGACGAAATTAGTTTCCTTGCCGACTGCCGACTTTTTAAGCTTGCGGGACTTCAAGCGGCTTCCCAGCACTTCGGTGGCGACTGGTCTTGGGAGCGATAAGGGCAGGATGACTGGATAACTCTAATCAGCAGCTATTCAGGTCATTTTTTCTCACATTCACAGGTTGGGGGTGTTTGCCTGTGCGTTTTTGTACCGGGGAAAGGGGGGAGGTCAAAACTGATTTGACTGGGAAACGCATCAAGGCGATCGAAGGTGATATATCAACATGTATGGTGCGCTCACGGATGGGTTGATGCTCACTACATGTGCATGGCCATGGTTTGCTTGGTGACAGGTCTTTTGCGTCCACTCTCGTTGCTTATGTGGCCTAAAGTCCGCCGGAAATGTCACACTGTTGGACTTGTTGAAATCTTGGCCCCCTGCAAACAGGGGAGCAGAAAAACAGGAAGCTGGTCCCTTTTACCTACCTTAAAACTTCCAGGATTCTGAAGCTCTGGGGATTGATCTGCAGGGATGGTCTGGATTTTGCTCAGCATTGAAACGTGCCTTCTATTATTCGTTTCATTCTGTTTAAGCCCCCTTGCCCGGAAACACATTAAAGCGGCCATTTTCAATAAGGCGGATCCAATATTACGACTAAAGGGGTATATACCAAGGGGTGGGGATACACGACAAGACGGGTTTCTGTTCAGCAGCCAGTGTGTGGAGGTCGAACGATCCAGCAGTTTTCGAGCACCTTATCCAGGCCCTGCACGGATCCAGCGTGGACCGAGACAAATCCGTAGAAATTGCTTTTGGTGCAGGACAAAAACAAAGGCAAACCTGGATGGAGTTTTCTGCAAGAAGGTGGCGAAGGACACCAGCCTCAGCACATTCGCAAAAAAAGTGTCCCGTAGTAGGATAGCATGATCTCCACTTTGCGGCGAGGCTTTGAGTATTACAAGTTCTGTCGCCATTGCTGCGAAAGAGAGGCATGTTTCGCGCCTCCAAAGACTGCATATCAGTGCCCACATGGCATCTGGGGCTTGGCACATACGCTTGCATAGTATGCAGCTGCAACCGACTCCTGTTTACTACTCTGGGGCTGCTCTGAAAGGTGGATCCGCGACCGCTCGCTCTGCATGCGAGGAAGGTAAAGGAGGACCGGGAGATCAAGCAGGCCAGCACGATTGGTATGAATCTAGAGTGAGAAGCCTGTGCCGCCTGCACACGTCTGTACTTTTTACAGGCAAACGCAAAGGCAAACGTCTTCACCGGATACCAAGGCTGCAGATAACATAGCCAAGCAAAGATGTGCGTAACAATGATAACTGGCTTTGTGTGTGAAAGATGGCTCAAGCCTGCAAAGTCAACATTCAAACGTCCAGACCATGCAATCCTGGCAGCGGCAGTCCATTTTTGATGGGGCGCTTAAGGAGGCTGGATTGGAAAGCAGACTTGGCATCATAGAGAGGCCGATGGGTTTGGGGCTGACAGTGCTGGAGCACTTCGAAGTTGGATCTGAGATCCTGTGCTGCGATCCGCTGCTGATATATACCCCCGGTCCACTGTGCAAAAAGATTGAGGATTTGCGCGCAGCGCTCCCTCATCCGGCGCTACTGCCACTACCCTGCTACTGCGCTGCGTTGGCGACTTTCCGAAGCACTCCCGCGGCCGTATGCCAAAAGCAGCTTTTTGCATTGAGCCGACCTGAGTCGATAGCACTGCGAGCCCCTGGCATGGAAGCCTTGGAATTCAAGGGCGACAGCCAGTCAGCAGATGCCACTGCCATGGCCATAGCACGGGCTTTTGACATTCCAGAGGCTTTGCATTCAAGCTTCAGCGAGCTGGCCAAAATTTGGCGCTGCAATGCATTTGAGCTCACAGATGGGCAGTTAGGTATCTTCCTTGTGCCCGCATTATGCAATCATAGTTGCAATCCTGCAGCTGAGTACAGAATCGACTCACAAGATGAGGAGGCGTTCACGATCACTCTGACAGCATGTCGTCAACTAATCCCCGGCGATGAGCTTACCATCAGCTACATTGCTGCGACGGCTGAGCACGAGCCTAGCCGCACGATTCGACGAAAAGCGTTGGCCTCTGGCTGGTTCTTCTTTTGTTGCTGCTCAGCATGTGGCATTTCTGATGGTGCGGACCAGCTCGGCGGAGTTGGCTCAACAGATGGATTCCTGTGCTCCTGCCCAGCTTGCAGCAGCTGCGGGTGCGCGCTGTCGATTTGGATAAGCGACGTTCAAGGAGGACCGTATGAAGACACTGGCGAAGCACCCACTTGTGACACTTGCGGGGAAATCGACCTGGTAGTTTCTGGATCTTACTTTTTTCATTGTTCCACTTGTGAGGTGGACTTGTGTCCGGAATGCGGCGACAAAGCAGAAATTCACATCCGGCGCGGGGAAAAAAATGGTGCAGCAAGGCGCCCTGACCACTGACACCCATGACACTTAAAACTGTTGCGTTTGAAACAGGCATCTCGGATTTGTCGCAACTCTGCAGCGGGGCCAATCCATGCTCTGCGGTATTAGTATGTTAGGCGCCGACATACCCAAGAAGACTGAGAGCGATGCCAAATTCAAGACGGGCGAGCTTTGGCCCTCAGCAAGATGAAGACTGTGATGCTCCTTGATTGGTTTGATATTCCTGCCAGCTTCATCCTGGTCAGGTTGATGGAGGTGGTAGGTGTCAAGAGCAAGCCTGATTACAACGGCAAGCTTCCTGAAACACCAGATGCAGGCCCTGAAAGCTCATGCTAAAGCTGTTGTTCCTGTAAGGCAAAATTGTCCGCGTATTGAAGTTCCACCCGGAGGCCAGATTTCGGATGGAAGCATGAAACACGTCACCGTGCCCAAATATATTTGCCTGGTCCAGGCAGACAGATATGAAGTACAGTTTGAGGGTGGACGATATGATTCAGTCGTCCAAACCTTACCCTGCCTACCCAAGCTTTACTAATGAGGCTTGGCTGGTTTGAAGTGACATGCCAGGTTGTTAAGCTCAAGGAAGAGAACTTGATGTACTCAGCGATGCAGGAGAAGGAGGTCCAGGAAACGAAGGACACAATATGCTGCGACAGAACCACTTGATGTGCGCAGATGTGGATGTGCTGCTGCAGCAGGACATGCCAGAGGGTGAGATCCCAAACGGCACAAAGGCAGGAGTCTGAGCATACACGCCATGGCGTGATAAGCTATGCGACCGTGGCTTTCAGCAATGGTACAAGACAAGCCTACCAGTTTCACACGAGAATGCAGGTTGAAGTGCGTGGCCTTCAAAGTGAGACGGCCAAGTGGATGAATGGATTGAAGGTGGTGCTGCAGCAGTGGCCTGACATGGATGCTGAAAGCCAAGCAATTGTCAGTTGCCCCAGCCGCAGGCCATCGTGGTATGCTGGGATAAGGACACAGAAAGATATGAGGCGTCTTTCCGTGCACCTTGCTGTCTCGCTTGAACCAGTATACGTCTCGAAGTGCAGGGGTTTAAGTGATGGTGTTGTGCGCATGCAGGTGCGGCTTAGTCTCAACAATGACATCAAGAAGGCCTGCTTCTGTCTCAGGCAATCAGAACCTGACCCACCATAGCGCAGGTGAAGCCGCCAAACCTTCGACTGGAAGTGCCGGATGGCTGGCAGGAGCGCCGCGACGCGCGGGACTCTTTTGAAGCACTTTGCCAACCCCTGCTTGCCAGGAGCATTGGGATGAACATCTTGGCCACCTGCCTAACACTCACTGTGTAAAAGCTCCTGTAGATACCTGTAGAGCAAGGTCGGCACTACTATGTGAATCAGACTACGCAGAAAGTGACGTGGAAGCACCCCACGGTCACAAACCAACGCGCAAAGTTTGGACAGGTGCGTACGATGCGGTTTGGCAGAATGCATTGCAATAGGCCACAGAAGGCTGCAAGGCTGCCATGGCTCTGAGCAGGTCAAAGAAAAGCTGGACCCCGACCTGGAGGACATAGAAATTGACCACGAGCGCAAGCATTACGAGGCCTTCTGACCTGCATCTCAGCTGTCTGTTGTGAACTCAAAAATGTTCAGGTGGATGAGCAGGAGGAGATGGAAGGCCAGTTCAACTTGCAGGCCTTAGTCAAGAAGGTGGAGGACCGCATCACAGCATCCTTGTCCTCGTTCTCACACAACATATCATAAGTCAAAAGGGCTGAAACGATACCAAAACCATGTGGAGTCTTAGCGCAGCCACGGCAGGAACAGGAGGAAAGACGTGAAAAGGCCGAGGAAACGGGTCGGGGTGCTCAGCAAACAAAGGGTAAAGCAAACTGCAATCAATCCAAAGCAGAGCGCATCGGCATCGGGTCAATACTTGCAGGGCAAGATGTCGACAGCGATGATGGCCTGCACGACATCGCGAAACCAAAGAAGAAAAAAGCCAAAAAGGAAAAGGCAGGCAGTAGCGGTTCCTCCAGCAGCAGGTGCAACTAACCCATGTGTTTATGACAGGTCACTGCTGAATCCATCATGGAGAAGGTGCTAGTGCCGGCTTGTTCTGCCACATATAAAAAGTCCTGCTGCGTCGCTTGTCTTCTTCGATTTGTTCAGGCTTTGCTGCTGATTGAGCACACGTTTGTGGGCAGGGAGTCCATCAAGAAGGTGATGCAGTTCATGTCAAGCACGGTCCCAGCCATGTACTCAACCCTCCCCACGAACCCGTGCACCAACAACTTGTCATTGCGTGCTCTCCTCCAGGACTACTCCCGCCTCGACGGCAACTTTTGTGCAAGAGACTTGGACCCCATCATCAAAAAGTGGGAGGCCTGAATGTCCTCGATGTCCGGGACATTGGTCCATGAGAGGGATTGGAAACATGATGTTGCAAGTTCTCACAGCAAGAATTCTTTGCGTTTAGCCTACAGTGCTCGCAGCCGTTGAGCAAGACTATACAAGCTTTTGACAGGTTTTATTTATAGACGAAGCCAAAAACAAGCAAATCTCGTGGGCTGACGTTTTGTTGAAAGCCTGCTTTTCTCAATGATGCCCTGTGGCACACGTGATGACAAGCCTGACTCTGGCCATATGTTAGGTTGAGAGACAGTGAGATCCCGTTCATGACTGACAGATTGCAGAGAAACGTGCAGAAGAGCTTCTGGCTAGGCCTTGGAGCGTGTCTCCGAGGCTCCGGACTCTTTGCATCAGCCTGAGAGCTGCTATTTGTAGCAAGCACTTCAAGCACATCGCGAGTTGCATCCACGGTCAGTCAAAGCTGAGGTGCAAAGAGACATTTGAGGTGATGCTTGCGCTGATTCAGAGAGGAGCAGAGCTTCTGAAAGAGCCATGCCCTCGTTGAATCAGCAGTGATAATCCAAATTCATTCTACTGGAGCAGGGGTTGCGTCACGTAGCCACCGTAGGTTGTCACAAAATCGGCTACAGCTCTCTGAGCTGAATAAGGCCTTGTCTGCTCTGCTTCTTAGTGGCTTAGCGACGTAGGAGTGCCATTTGCGCCCTATCATGTTGAACGTTTTTTCTCGGGCTCTTGGTAGAGTAAGACATCACACGCTGTCTCTTGCTCTGACTGGTCTTCCCCGATGCCAAGCTGCAGCAAGCCTTTTTTGTTTTGGTGCAAATCGTTTGCCTCGTGGCAGGTCATGAGTCGAGTCACTACGCTACGCGCTCAGCTGGACACTTTCCACTCACATGGATGATGCCGGGCTGCTACAATGTCGGGCTGTGGCACGCCTTCCATGCAGCTCCATCGAGCACTTGCTGCAACAATGGAGCATGGCCGGTTTGCAGACATTTGCCCGCAAGAACTTTATCAACAGATCGTCCTGAGCAGCTGCCACGCCATGTTGATCAAAAGCTTGCTGCGGCCCACTGCAGTGCTGTCAGACTTTCGAAGCATTTTGTCGCACGAATGCCACAATGCCTGGCGTTGGCTCCTTTAGCTCTTGTGGCTACACCCCGGGATCGCCTGTGACTCCAAACATCTCCCAAGACCATGGCGCCAGAGACACAAAATCTCAAGACAAATGAGTCAAGTTACAGAGGAATATATGTCCACGACATTCCACGACCAATGCGTTCGACGGCCGAGTAGGCACAAGCAAAAACACATTGTTGCCACTACTGCACAGTCTTCTACAAGGGAGGCCTGGGCATTGCTGCTTGAAGTGCAGGAAAGTGTTTTGGGTCAATGTCCGAGTGACACTTCTTGAGCTGGGACGAAAACAATCGTACATCATGGGAAAACGATGAGAGTAAGTTAAACGATGATGCAGCAATTTATGTTATTTGATGGGAAAACGATAAGAGCAGAATCCTTGATAACGTGTTAAATTGGATAGACGGCTGGCCTCTAAGTTTCTGCTCTCTTCCCTTGTGCGCATTTATTGGCTTCTTGAGGATTCAGGAGATGCATTAGGACGTACCAAGGCGCAAGCGCTCAACTTCAACAGCTGCTTCAGAGCATTGAAAGCATTCCAGCGGAAAAAACCTCAACTGCTTGATGCCTGCTTGAAAGGCATCTTTTGTGGTGCGCAGCAGCAGCAGCTCAGGCTTGAGAAAAGAGAAGATTTGCTGGAAGATGCAAAGTGGGCGCAAAACTCGGGACGTGTCACTTAAGTTCATTCTTTTTCCTTCACTTGCGCGTGGCAAGCGTGCTGGGCATTTTAAGGTGCACTCCTTCATGAAGACTTTGTGAGCGCGAACTCCCCATGCCCTACAACCAACTCATGCTGCGGCAGAAGCTGAATGTCGATCACGTGGCCAAGCAAACCTTGCTCGGACGGGACAAATTGCCAGGAGGCAGGTCGAAAGAAAGTGGCCCCTCCACGTGCAACTCGGTTCCAGTCAGCCGATGGATGGCCAAAGATGTCGCCCATTACGGTAGACAGCTTGATCACCGTGCAGCAGTCACAAAAGCAAGACCGCTAAAGCCAGAGATGCCTTGGCATCAAGATGTTGACCTCTTGCTGCCCGTTCATGTCTCCGCTGCAATCTGGAAGCCGAATATATGAGTCATGGGGAACCCAGACATGAGCATATTTGCCTTACATGTGCAGGGATTATGTGAGTGTAGCGCAGCTGATCAGATGCACGGATGTCGTGGCCATGAAGCAAAGCAGGGCTTTCTAATCTGTCGGCTGCGCTGGCACGATGACTTGAAGAAGCTGCTGGCTGCAACAGCTGACGGCTCAGCACATCTGAATGTTGGGCCAGGGTTGACAGCAGCTGTCCAGGGCAAGCTCTCATGACACCTTCTGTTGTGCGTTCTGCCGAAATCAGGTGAGCATGGCACTTCAGAAGTCCATGGCCCAGTTTCTTGCGTAGCTTCTTGCCCCCGACTTCAGCAATGTGAATAGAGCGTTTGTTATCAGCAGTTTGCCTGGCTCAAGATGCAGCATAGGCAAGTAGATGACACGTGACTGTCGAGCCTCTCGGGCCGAATGCTGTCAGAAAACAGCAAATGTCGCAGCGGCCGAGGACAATTCCGGACATCAAAGCCCTCCTGGCTTGTGCAGAGAACTCACAGGACACCACTCCAACCCTGCACAAAGTTCTTGAAGTGTTGGGTCCGCAGATATCAGACTGGGCCACCAACCCCAAGTACGCCACAACAACGCTCAGCGCGCTCTGCAAGAACAACTGCTTTGGAGTTGCTCAGCGCGTTCTTGAGTGTATGACCTTCCTGGCTGTGCAAGCCAACGTATATCATTACACCGCCATTATTGCATCCTGTTCTAAAACTGGCAACTGGGAGTTTGCAGCGCATTTTCTTGCAGGAATGCTGCACGTTGCCATACAACCGAACGAGTACAGCTACAGTTCAGCTATCACAGCATGTGAGAGAGGTAGTCATTGGGAGCATGCTTTTACTTTATGTGCTTTCATGAATGACCAGAACTTGAATCCGAATGAAGTGACTCTTGGGGCGAGTATCAACGCTTGCTGTCACGCAGGCAAGTGGACGTTTGCGCTGCAATTGCTGTCTGAAGCGGAGGCTGCAACTGTTCAGGCAAATGCAATTTCGATGAGCGCTGCAATCTCGTCATGCGAGAAGGCAAGCCACTGGCAAGTGACTGTTGAGCTGTTGAGACGCATGGCTGACAACGACATTTCACCGGACCTGATCAGTTACAGTGCTACCATTAGCGCCTGCGAAAAAACTGGTGCGTGGGAGACGGCACTTTCAATAATCGCAGCTATGCCTTCCGTCCTGCTATCTCCAGATCTGGTGTGCTGCAATGCTGGAATGAGTGCGTGCGCGGCAGGAAGCCAGTGGCGGCTGGCGTTGCTACTTTGGGATCGCATGCCTGCGCAGCGCATCTTCCCCGATTTCATAGGTTTGAGCGCTGCCATTGTTGCTTGCGATCGCTCCGAGAAGTGGGAAGCAGCGATCAGCCTGTTCAGACATGGCTTGCAATCATCCGTGGTTCCAGACACCATTCTCTACAACTCGGCGCTTCACAGTTGCGAAGCTCCAATGCACTGGGATCTTGCTCTTGCCTTGCTGTGCGAGATGTCAGCACAGCGCATTCCCACAAATGAGATGAGCTACCGTTGCGTCATGGGTGCCTGCCAGGGTAAGAAGTGGCAGTTGGCCTTGAAATTGTTTGCAGTCGCAGCGCAGAACTTCGAGCTCTCTGCAATTACCTTCAGTACCATCACTCTGGCTTGTGCCAAGCAGGGCCAGTGGGAGGCTGCCGTCATTCTCCTGCAAAGCATGGTGAGTGAAGTGGGCTTTCCAGACGCACCAAGCGCGTTTGATGCCGTCATCCAGACTTGCTATGAACAGGGCAATCTGATCGTCACTGCGGGGCTTCTGCATGACTGGGCTGAGGGAGTAGCGGTCTTGTGCAAAGCTGTGCAGTCCAGGCATCAGGGGATTGCTGAGCCAGAAAACAGGATCTTTCTCAGCCTGCCAGGATCCTGCATGTTTGACAGACTTTCTCTAGGTTGCCAGCGCCATGCGGTACATGCTTCGTGCTCAGGTTCTTCAGAAGCGGTGCAGCGACACAGCAGCTTCCCGCGAAAAGAAAGCGATTGCGCCGGGTGTACTCGAGCGAGAAGGCTGCTCAACTTGCAACGTCGGAGCAGCAACTGCAGAACTAATGAAGAGCGAGTGCTTGCTTCTACGTTTTATTGAGGAAGTCATGGACTCCCTGGAGCCCAAACCTCTTCCAGCCAGTCTCAGCCGCCACTCCTCAATGGGTGAGTTCGAGGCAAGCTCTGAGTATGTGTGATAGGCGTCAGGTGCGCTGACATGGAAATCGCAAGTGCGTTAGCAAACCGCAGGATGGCGAAATGGCTGTAGTTGAGCGCCGGGTCAGTTTGAAGGATCCAGTCTCGATAGCCACTCAGAATTGCCTGTGCTACCCATGCGCATCCCCGATGATGCGTGCACATTTTGTGCAAAGGTTGCAGCTCATCGAGTTCTACGCTTGGAAGTGTAACGACCCTTGAGCATTGAACAGGCAAGCAATGGAGCTCATTCCTGAGGTGCCCGGTTAGAGGGCCGAACTGCGAGCATCTCGAGGCTATGGGTATGTCTTGTGGATCTGTCACCCATGTCCATCCACAAACCGCAAGCCCTTCAATGCAAGGCTTTCGATCGACGATCGTATTTGGACTTGAACGAGATGATGGAGCGAGACACGTGGCTGGCGACTTAGGGTCAGATCAGCCTATTTAATGCAGGTCAAAACTCTGTAGCTAGCCTCAGGAAAAGGCTGACTCGATTGTGGCTTTGCCCATGGTGTGACTGGGACAGCACAAGTGGAATGCAACTGGTGCTTTGGCTTCAGCCATGACAGCGGAGTCCACGACGCGAAGTATTGCGTATATCACAGTGTGCAATCGTGCGGCAACAGCTTCTGAATGTTCATGTTTGGCACCACAGAATCCCGAATAGGCGGGGGTATGAGTCGGAATCAGCTTGGCTAATTATGTTGCACGTGAGTTGGGAACAAGAGCCCAATCACTCAGAAATAGGAATCAGAAGCCGGGCTCCCCAGATTCAGAAACCACAGGGCAACTTTACAGCAACATCCAGCGCCAAACGCAAATGGACATTTTTTTTGCAGTCAAAAGCCGCAGTGAGACAGAGTAGGTCGACACATGTTAAACCCATCCCAGCTTCTCCCTGCATTTGCAGCAAGACATTGTGGTGAGGAAACTCAAGTAAAGACGTGTTCCAACATCGCACGGTATTCTCCTTGCAACTTCCGGAACACAGTCAGCACGGGGAAGCTCAAGTCAAGGCATGTTAACACCACTCTGTTTCCTCTTGCAAGTCAAAGGGCACGATGACACGAAGAAACTGGAGTAGGACATGTTACGGGTCGCTCCCCTCTTCGCCCTGCAATGTGCGAATGACACTGACACATTTGTGCACGTTGCTCCCCAAGGCTCCTGACTCGTGTTTCCAACCGAAACATTATCCCCTTTGCGTCGCACCTGTTCTGTCGTAAGGTCAGTTTCCAGCTCGCAGTGCTGATCTGGTGGAGGCTCCAGAGTTCACAAAAGTGCCCGTGTCTCAGCATTTTCATGGCGTTTCTCCCCAGGTGGTCTCAGCTGTGTTATAGTTATTATAATCAGTACTTGCCCAATCTAGGCTGGAGGAGATGCGGCAGGCTTGCTCTAGTGCGTGCTGCCCCTGGTGCTCGTTTAATCTGCATGGCAGTTGTCTCGCTCAAATGAACTCCGAGATCTACTGAGACTTAGGACTTATGCGCTAGTGCAAGAGGATGGGTCGCTCAGAATGCCGTCTGTTGCCGCAGACCAGAGGACGCGGAACGTTTGCTCGGGTGACGTGCCCGGGAGTTTTCAGACACGGATAGTGCCGTCAGGATCAGCACGGGCGTTGCCAAGCGCGAGGCCTTGGCCAAGGCCCCGAACTGAGAGCCGATCTTTGCTCTCTCCATCTCTCTCCTGTGCTTGTTCTAGCAGGTTTTATTTGAAGGTCTCTCATGACCAGGTGGACATGGTGGACACCTCCAGCGACGAGGAGATTCCAAAGCCTGCAGGCCGAGCGATGCTCATATCTGCTAAATGTGTCCCAGAGCTAGAAACCGCAGCATGGTCACGAAGGCACTGTGGATAATCCGCGCCAAGTTGAGGACCTGCGATCTCCGCAGGCGCAGCGGCCCTAGTCAAATTGTGCGATGTAATGTTGTGCGCTTGCTAGTTCTTGGCGTGCAGTAAAAAAAGTTCTGTGCGGGTGTGATCGAACCAATCGCGCACAACAAGGCCCGAGAAGTTGGACCAGCATGAAGCTCCTAGCACTAGATCTACCGGGAAGCCGGAAGCATCTGGCATAAGGCGGTTGCGTCATGCGTTTGCATAATTATTCGATGGGCTTGCAATCCTGCCTGTGGTCCCAGGGGCAAAGAGGTCAAAGACGCTTCAGTCAAACTGAAGGATAGACCTGCACAGACTAGAGCACACCAGCGTTTGTTGAAAATCCTTCAGCCGCAAGGAGGCCAACGAGGCATGTCTTTCCAAGGATACGGAGACCAACAATGTCCGAAGAGGCTCTCGCATATCAGAGTCAAGCAGGTGCCTGCAAACTTGCAGCAGTAAGAGTGCAGGTACAGATGATGCTGAGAGCAACCGGCCCCCTTGCCAAGAACGAGTATTTGTCATATGTCACCCAACTCGCACATGCTTCGGCCCTTGATGTTGTACCTCAGGAAAGCAGGGCTTCAAGCTACGAGTATTCCAGGCGGGGCAGCGAGGACTGGCATGCCTGTAGCAGGCAAACGTGATTGGAGTGTTTTCCCAGGTGGTGGCAGGTGTCCCCAGGCAGGGCCAGCAAGTGTTGAGTACTGGGACATGACAATCATTGCAAGGCATCCAAAAAGAGGAAGGCAGCGCTAGCTGCAGCCAAAGACTGGCACTAAGCCTCGCTCGCGCGATGCCGAGCCTGGAGGAAGCTGAAACATAGCTGCTGACCAAGGCCGCCTCCCTGATGTGGACCTAAGCTCAGTTCCTGACCACACTGGCCTACTCATTGTTTGCATTTTGGAGGGTGAGAAGCGATGCCTTCTAGCCATGTTTCAGGAGCAGTGAAGACCAAAAGCAATCCAGTATCATGACATATTGCCGCGCACCCAGCCTCCCGTTCGGGCACCTTGTTCCGTCGTCTCCATCTTATGGTAGTGCATAGACATCACAGCGTGCGTGAAGATGCCTTCAATGCTGGAAAATCAGATGCGCTAATTTCAGTGCACAAAGAGGACATGCACCGGGTCCGAAGTTCGAATGCTCTCTTTGTGAAATCTGCAAGCATAAGATTATGTATTACACTTGCTTGATATGTCCAATCATGTTTGTTGCATTGCTGGGTTTTCCCTTCGTCTCAAAGTTGAGGTCAACAGCTTGCGCGCTGCAAGTTCTAGCAGGAGGCTAAGATGTCATAGTGGCTGTTCACTCGTGCCGGTGCAAAGTGCTGCAAGCACGGCCACAGAGCCACCAACAAGCGTGCATTCACACAAGTTCATGTTCATCAATACAGTCCTGACTGATCCCGGCGAGGTTTCGTGCAGATTCCAAAGGTAGCAGCACGACGCGACAGAGCCAGCGCGGCCCTCAGCCATTTTCTTGTTCATGCAAGATCAAAGCTACAATGCTACAGTTAAAGGACCCCTGCTTTCGAGGCGCTAGGTGAGTTGGCAACTGGTTCTTGGTGTGCTTGCCTGCATCATCCTGCATCAGCTAGCCTTCGCACCTCATGGCCACGCGGCCCGGACCTTTGAATCCTGCTGCAGCCAGAGTCAGGGTTGTCTTTAAGCCTTTGTCCGGCCGTCCTTCAACTTCTGTCGCGCGAGAGCTTAGCGCACAGGCACAGAATGGCACAGACAGCAAAGGACACCAAGAAGGTAAGCAACTACGTCTGGGGAAAGCTGGCAGAAATGGGAAGCTGCACTGTAATCATTGCTTGATACTACTCTTCAGATCGTGTAAGGGCAGGTCTGCCAAGCCAGTTGGTGCGTTTCATGCCCCCATCGATGGATGATGAACTAGCCGCAAGTAGCCGCAATACAGCGCCTTTCCAAAATCCGATTGAAGCCCGGCAAAGCGGACTCGCAAGGTTTCAGGGAAGAAGAGTCGTCCCTTTTTCGCTGTGCAAGTTGGCAGGACGAGCTAAATGGGATACCTCTCAAAGGCTGGTCTGAAATTTTGTGTTTTGCCCTGAAGCGGGGGGTTTCTGTGGCCGCGACAGCACGACGAAAGATGCGGCCAGAGAGTAGCATGCCGAACAGATTGGAGTAGTCCAGACCTTGCTTTTGTCGGATAAGGCATGGCGAGAGGTTCGTTGCTGGCTAAAGAAATATTACACTATTACATGGATTTGATTCGTCCACAACCACCAAATTAATTAAATGGAAATTGTGCGTTGGGTGCTTGTCAGAGCTAAGCTGAAAACCAGTTCCTTTCAGCAGCCCCATATTTGGCCAGCTAATCTTGCGTCCCTGAGCTGACTTGTGCTCTCAAAGGCAGCACACACATTTTGGAAAGCCAGAGGCGACAGGCCGACTCGTTCTCGGCGTTGTGAGGGAGCACTGTTGATGTACTTTTGTATGCAGATGCACAGCATGGGGAAATGCGTAGCGCATCGCATACGCCCAGTGAACAAGTGGTGCGCCGTTGAGTACGATTGACAAAAAGGCACAATCCTGCTAATTTGCTGGTGAACTTGAGCATTGGACTGGTGAGCTTGAGCATTGGACTTGTCACCCTTCATGGCCGCCATTGGCGTCACGCAGCTGTTCAAGCTAAGCCGGCGCGCCTTTTGCGGCGACATCACGTGCAATGGTCAGACATGGCAGAGCCCTCTGCAGATTGGTGGTCGTCAGTCAGTGCACTCTGATGGCACTGTGGCAGCTTCCTGGAGGCTTTGTGCAACCATTGGCAGCTGCAAGGAGGCCCAGCAGTCAAGCAGCTATGAAGACAATAGCGATGCACGCAGAGAGCACGCCAGACGCAGAGGCGCCGAGCCCGCTTGTGGCAGTTTGGCGCTACATTGGCGGCTATTATGAAATCAAAGAATCTGACGGGAAGCTTTTCTTCCAGGAAAATAACCTTCAGGGTGAACTAGTGGAGCAGGATGGCTGGCTAGTTGCGGAGCTCCCGCCTGCAGGCACCATTCGCTTAAAGCTTGGTGACTCTGGGAGTGAGGTTTTGTCAAACTTCAAGCCAGCAGATTCGGAGAAGTGGGGTGAGTCCATCACCGCACTGAAAGAGTGGGAATCTTTGACCAGCCGGGTGGAGGCCCTGTACAGAGACTTGGACGGCTCAGAGTTCGAGGGCGCAGCCATGGACGGGGAAGTCGTCGTGAAGGTCAACGGCCGACAGAGGCCAGTAGGCTTGACTTTGTCACCCAAGGCAGCCTCAGGGTCGAACTTGGGCTCCGCCATTAAAGAAGCGCACTCAAGCGCGGTGGACAAATCTATGGAAGTCATGACAGCACGTCTCCAAGAACTCTATGCAGCACATTTCTCTGCAACTAGACCATGAAGCTCCTGGTTGATGCTCTGCCGCTAGCAGAAGATGCGCATTGCAAAACAAAAGTTGCCGATCCATTCTCGAAATGATTTCCTGCTTGCATTTTGATAGGTTTGCACATGTGCAAATTGTCCTCGCAGACGTATATAGCCGGAATGAGTGGGCAATGTCTAGACCGCATGCCGCGGGAGCACCTGGCATCACGGCATGGGCTAGCCGTGCCCAAGCCCCAGACTTTGTCCAGCAAGGTATGATTGCAGCAGCAACCTCACAGCACTTGCTGAGGGCTTGCAAAAACGAGGTAGATGAGAAGTTGATCGACAGCTTGTTGTGCATTCGCGGCGATTCTGGACCTCAACGTCAGGCACTGTCACCGCGATCCGAGAAGACTGAGCATGATGATGTGCTGCGCCGCTACACGCGAAGTCAGCTGAAGGCAGATGTGAGGCAGCTGCAGCCAGGTCTTCTTTCATCTCCTCAAGCACCATTTTCTACCAACGAATTTGCTTTCAGGCAGAGTACCATTGAAAGTCCCGCTGCAATGCAGCCCTCTGAAGCCTGTGACGGTGCAATCCTTTGCTTTCTATAGTACTGCAGGCCTGTGAACACGTGGTTGCTTGTTTGCATGTGGCCTAGCTTGGCATTACACGCAAGGTCTCGGCCGTCCTGCTGCAGCCGATGGCAAAGGCTGCCATGCTTTGCTTAGTTGCATGGCACATGAAGTAAAGCTTTTTGAGGCCCGTGTAGCCTTACCATTCGGACAAACGCAGGGCCCTTGAAGGGACGCGTTTGCATGGAAACTCAAAGTTGATGTCATTTGATGACCTTTGTCGGCATGTCTGCCAATGAACCTTTTGCCTCGAGCACAGGCCGCACAGGTACCATGTTGGACTCACGCCGCTCAGAGGTGCTGAGATTTGGGAACAAGCTAGAAGGAACCATGGAAGAACTGCTCTTGCAAGGAATGCCATCTCCAGCAAGTGTCCATTTCAAGGCAGGGGCCCCAGGCAGCCATTGTGGCCCATTTCGCCATTAAGACAAGAGGGCTTTGTGCTTGAGGTCTGGCTCCGTGCTTTTTCCTTCCAGACACGGATTGTGCTCATGACACATGGAGTGCTTGGTGACTGTCACTGGCTATGATGTACCAAATCAGCACTTTGACAAAGCACAAAAGCAAGGAAACCGAAAACGCTCACCGCACGTACAACAAGCGCGAAATAGGTGCAAGTGTTGAGGAAACTGTTGCCGTGAGATTTCACATACGCAAAATACTGTCATGACTGCAGATTTGTTGACTACAAACTTGTGATGGGTCTCGACACCTTTCGAGAATCATGTGGAGCAATTGAAGCACTTGGGCCTTCAAGCAGGAGAGGGGTGATATTCCATCCTTTGACTGAAGGCGCATGGGGTTGCTTGGCTTTGCAGTTGGTGACGGATTGAGGAGAGTGACATAATGTGGAGATTTCCAAGTCAGACGTGAGGCTTCAAAACTTCGCAGCTCCGCGAGAGCGCAAAGCGGGATTTAGCGAATGCAAAGTTGCAGCGAGAGAAAAATAGATTATCACAAATTCAAAGGGAAGGGTCCAAGGTGAACATGGATCCATCAAGCCAACCACCCCATGGGAAAAGCTAGCTCGTGCTGCGCAATCTGCAGGGACTTTTGGGTTCCTGCATTAGGCCGAAGGCCTAAGTGTCTTTGAGGATATGTTTTTAATCGGCAGCCGTTGACCACACACCTTTGCACAGTAGCTCTCAATCATACCACATGATTTGTGACGCTGTCAGCATCCAGCAAAGAGCACATACCAGCGGAATTATCTCAGCGCCCTCGCCCTTGCAAGGTGCGACCTTGCAGCAGAGGCTGGAAGACTCTGAATGCAGCAAGTTGCGCCATGATGTGCTTTTGAGCGGGTGCGGACTGGTTGAATCAAGATGCAGAGGCAGGCATAAAGAGCTGTCGCATGGAGAAAGTGTGTCGCAGTCTCGCGCTTATTTGCTGCATTGATGTAGGCTTTCTGTTATTTCGAGGGCGCGGTTAGATCTACTGTCAAGCAAGGCTCCGACATTTGATCATTTCGTTGCTTCGAACCGTGCGCCTGCCCTGCCTGCTGCCGAGACATGCAACGGCCAATTTTGGCAAGTCTTTGGTTTTTCCGCTTACGTACTCAGTCTGTTGCGCTCATGCGTGCATAGATTGACAACAAAGTCCTGTAACTGTCGTTGCAGGTGCTTGACACTCGCTTTTGCAAGTGTTTTGTGCTTTTCCCACCAGCCAAAGTCAAACACATCATCAGGGAGTTGGGGCGTTTACCACCGTCGCTGCTCCCACCACCGCCGCCGCTACCGCCGCCACCACCACCACCAGCGTTTCCAGCACCAGCATGAGCATTCCAACCACCACCATTGCTGACCGTATCTTGGACAGTGAATTCATGGTGTGCTGCAGCTTGTTCATGAGCTACCCATCAATATCCAGCAACTCGATGACCCAGTAGTCCGTGGCGCAGTGACAACACGAAAAAACACGTCGTTGTTGTGATGTACGCCTGGAAAGGTATTTGGCTTGCATGGCCAGCGCTCAATAGCAGAATTCCCTGCAGATCATTCTGCAGCCAGAACTACTCGGTGCTCCTGATTGCCAGTATTACTCGTACATGGGTGAATGCCTCTGCTCCGTACAGTCCATGCTCGTGACTAATTATCATTCACGTCGGTGAGATCATAAGAAGGCAATATGCACATGCACGGGACTGGCAAAAAGCAAAAAGGTGTGAGACATGCAGAGCTGATCTTCTGACATGAAAAAGTTACGAAGAAGGTGACTTAGCTCTCCTACGCTTTTTTTGCCCGGCACCTCTCAAGAAAAAGTGAAAGAGGGAGGCCGAGCTTGCGGAAATTCAGGTTTGGGATTCAAAAAGGAAGCAACCACTGTCCCACTCCGGTGCATGGCTGGTGGGCATGAGGGCAGCAGGTACTGCGCGAGCGGCCAAGTGACCCGCTTGCCTGCCTGGCTTCTCACTTTGACCAAGCACCTTCACAGTGCGCAGCACTTAGCTTATTCAGGATCCAAATCTGTGGTAGACCTGTTGAATTGTCGGGCCTGGATTGGAGGTGATGCTGAAGCTGTGCGATTCTCAGAGTGTGATGGGCGAATGCATCAAGTCGGGCTGGCAAGCTGCAGCAGGGTGCCACTTGTTGGCCAAGGAAGTCTCGTCAGGGCAGACCGCCTCCTGCCAATCTCATACCGAAATTACCATTGAAAAGGCTGGCTGATTCAAAGGGTTTGCCATCAGACGTGGCAGCTTCAGACATGCAAAGGTAACAGGCGCTCCCAAGGGCGCAGTTCTCTTCATCATGGTTCAACTCTCGGGGTGAAGTGCACTGTTTTGGCTGCACAGGGAGAGCTTCCAGCTTCCGAGGCTTGGAAAGCGCAGTACCAGCTCCCGGTCGCGGCTATACCTGCACAGGGAATCAGCCTTCGTTTCCCAGAGGGTCCGGCAGGACCTGCACGTGGGTAAAAAGCCAGAGAAATGTGCCATCCAAACACGGTTGAGGACTCAATCCATTCAGGATTGATTTGATGCAGCCTTTGTGCAGCGGTCAGGTGGCCATGCAAGGTCTCAAGCTCATCATCCCAGTGGATCTGGCAGTTCCGCCATTTGATCTCTGGAAGGTCTCTCCGACGGTGTGGGTCGATCAAGACAGCTGACTTTGAGCTAGATTCTTAGCATTTTCTGCTTTGCTTGGCCCCCAACAGTTGCCTTGGTTGTTATATGAAGGCCATGGGGATGCGGAAGTTGTGGTCGTGATTGAGAGAAGCACGACAAGACTACGAGATGAGGCGGAAGTTGATGCTGTCAAGCTTTATGGTGCTCAGAGAAGGTATGACACACCCACAGGTCATGCAGCATGATCTGGGGAGTTGCTGGCCAGAGTGCCTGACTTCAGATGACCCAGCAGGGGCCCATATTCTGGCAATTTGTGAGCGACACACGATGGCTGATCAACTTGAACAAAGGCGCACCTGAGTGCAGCCATCGTGCTGAGCTCAGCATTTGACTTGCTGATGTGCCTGGCCGAGTTTCACACAGTGAGCTCCCACTTATTCACCATCACGCCACTTTGCGAAGGAAGCTGCGCGACACTACCTGGTGAGGCACCAGCTGGACCAAGTCCTACTCACCATGCTGGAAGAGGCATTGCCATTGAGAAATTTGCGGGAGCTATTGCAACTGAGTAGCCCCAGGCAAGTTTGCAGCCCGCGGATGCCTTCACGTTTGCGGCATGCCAATTCCGCACTGCCAAGGCTGGGACATCGCCGTTTGTTTTGCACATGTCAGAACTTGCAGAACTTGCAGCCTGCTGATAGGAGACGCTTGTCCACGGCACGAACTCTTTGCACGGGATAGGCAGCGTTTTCGAACTCATAAGATTAGCAGGCGTGTTTTGCGGTTGCCGTGAAGGTCGCAGTGGCTTCACGCAGCTTCTGCAAGCGCTGTCAGCAGATAGTGCTTATTCTGATGGCACGCTTGCTAAGCAGAACGCTGGGCAAACTGCAGAGCAAGGCTATGCTGCGGCCCGGCCACATGTGCTTGATGGCAAGGGACAGGTGACAGACGGAATTGGTCCGCAAGCTTCGCCAGCGGAGCAGACCGCCGCATACCAAGCCTTTGCCGATCCAAATGCACCAGGAAGCTGCCAATCTGGTGACGTCGAGACCTTAAAGCACGAAGTGCTGCCAGTGGGGCCTGCAGAGTCCTCTACCGATCCCAGCCTGCAAATTTCT